AATATTTTTGAGGCGCAATTTTCTAGTTAATTTTACTTTTAGTTTTCTTAATTTCATAATTATATTTACCTAAATTTATATTTTATATTAATTTTTGCATACAACTCATGAAACTGAAGAATGGCTCACGTAGTCACGTTGCAGTTACGTTTGAATTTAGTAAAAACCTTGCCATTTGAATTTAATCCAGCGACCGGTGAGCGCTGCGCCGCGCCGCCAACGTTAGAAGTTCGACATCGACACTCGACGAGGCAGTTGCGGCGTGCCTATGTTAATGCATGGGAGGTGGTATACGCGTGTGTGGGGAACACATACAATATTGTGAATGGCGCATGCGCAAAGGCTAGCCAAGGCAGTCAAATACCGCCTCGAGCCGCCGGGTACATTGTATATAGCTGCTCTACTAGCTAGGTGGGGATAGCTCGCAAAGTGCATAGCAAGTAAATTATTAGATATACACGGATATACGCGGGCGCGCGGCACCATACTAGTCTATCTCTTAGAACACTGGAATTGAAACATCGATGTCTTGACAAAGCAATTAATAATAAACATTGACGACGCGCGACGCTGGCACTGCCGCCGTCTCCTGCACAGTGCATACTGCTCAGAAATCTGCTAATCGATTACGATTATAAGCTACATAGAGTGCTCACCGACTCACAGTTTTAATCGGTACACAATATTAAAAGTTTAAACATGTCAAGTAAAAGAGTGGTACCAGTTTAAACAAATAAGGCAAGAAAAGTTGGCCAAACAAGCAGATATAATAAATAAACAAAAATTGATGGATTTATGCGCGGCGTTCAAATTAGTAATCTAAATTCATCTTTATTATTTATATTTAAAATAATATATTAATTAAAGGACTAGAATAAAATGAGTTCCTTAGAAACCGCATCATGTCAGTGTGTGGGGTTTTGTAGTGATTAAACTTGACAAGTAATAAGTTACAAAATGTCAATATTGATTGTTTGATATTCAGTTATACGATAGTTTAATTAGATTAATAGAACAGACTCGTGAAAATTTTGATGATTTTGAAACAGAAGCATTGCAAAGGCAGTTAGAAAGGATTACAAAATAACTACAAGAAAAAGCGAAAACTTTTCCATGACGAATCTGAATCTGAAGATGTAAATTTATCGGCACGATACAGTTTTAAAATACATACATTTATTCCTATCTTAGATAAATTAAAACTGAATTAGAAACTAGGCGACATGCATATGATATTTTCTGTAAACATTTACATTTTTAACGCAAATTAAGGAATTGGACAATCAAGAATGAAAATCGGTTAATTACTCAAAACATTTATACAAATGATGTGGAATTTAACGATCTTATAAATGAAGTGATACATTTAAAGCTCATGTCGATGTAATCTCTATAGGGGAAAAACACAACTTACTTGGTCTTCAAACATTTCTATATGAAAAAGACTTAACAAATATTTACCCAAGTATAGAAATAATCTTCATTTTATTTTCGACCAGCTGTCACCAATTGCTCAGCTGAAGATCGTTTCATGTTTAAAATAGTAAAACTTACGTTCTACTATGACTAACAAAAATGAAATCACTCGCGATTCTAAACATTGAAAATCAAATAACTCGTCAGTTATCGTTTGATGAAATCATAGATAATTTTGCTACAGATAAAATCAAGGCGCAAAATGATTTAATATTGTACTAATATTGTATTAATATTTATTTGTTTTTGGAATGTATAAATATATAAATACCTAAATATAATTTTTATAGTCTTTGTTTATTTCATAGAACTTCTCCCCGGTGGAGTACGCCACCTGTGGGGCGCAGGTTAGAATGCCTAGGGCGAAAATGGAGCAATGCACTGAACGAAGTACACAACAGAGCGCCCTAGGCACGTGCCTTGGTGGCCTATGGGTAAATCCGCCCCTGATTATCTACATAGACAACTAGTAATAATTTATTGATTTATGGCTTGGCGATGGAGGTTGACTATCGATTAATATTGAAAAAAAAAACAATGTAAATTATTTTTAAAAACCTATTGGGTATTTTGAAATAATTATATTTTCGACTTCTCGTAAATATTTGCTATTGGTCAACTAAACTTTCAGCCGTGGACCGTGGCGTTACGGCAGACTAACATAATTCTAATATAATATTTGTTATTTGTTAATCACTGTGTAATGTGTTTACTCTACTGTTGTATATTAGTCGTTTCCCGTTGATATTTGTAATTTGTACCTATATTAAGATGTGTAATTTGACTTTAAATTTTAACAGTTTAACGTTTAATTTTAAATTGAAAGTGTGGTCAAATACTAAAAAATAATGGAAAAATGCGAAATTTGTGGTCGCGAAAGAGAAGTCATGAACTACACAAATTCGAATAGACATGTAAAAAGCTGAAGATTAAAAATCCCTACACCACCAGCAATATCAAAAAGAAAATTAAGTAATACTTTAATAAACAATTTTTTTATCAAGAGAAGAAAATTATAAAAAATTGGTAAGCTTAAAATATTATAATTTTAATGTTCTATTTAATGTATTAAATATTAATGTACCTATTTTGTAATCAAATTTGGAATACCTATCCAATTATGACTAATAGACAATAATTAAAATACTTATAAGTTATATTTATATAAAAAAAAATTATTTATGTCATTATGAAGAAAGTTAATTTTCAAAATGTGATGAGTACATATTGATACCTAACTATGTATAAGATACCATGCGACTATGGTAAAGAGCATATAACAATTATTATTTTTAAGTAGTTACATAGTATCATCAGTTCGTGTACGACTCCCGTCCGAACAACACGTATGTTAACGTTTAGTACGCCTTTATAGCTTCGATAGCGTAAAGACCAGTTTTCATCGATACAGGTAATATGACATTATTCTCCCGTTATCTCTGCCCGTAACTATTGACATACACACAACTACCGCACTACCTACAGTCCATTCCACGAGAGAATAATCACTTTTCGCGCATCACGAATAACGGCTTCAGCGACGCCGAACCCCAATTACCCCTTCCAAGCGTTGACGACGACGGCCGAGGCCGGCCTCGTGACAAACCGATACCCTTTCTTTCAAAGTTTACGCGCGCAGCGCGCATACACCACTACATTGTCGGCAGTCGCCCGACGGCGCAAGTACTGTACAGTCGTACTGTTGAACTTTATTTTGTATACATTCTTTCGTAATCCTTACCAAATTACTGAATTATATCTTAAAAAATACAACTCGGGTTAAAACATTTGTTAGATACATATATACACAACATAATGTATTATATACAACAATTATTACACACAGAACAACATAACATGTACAAAATGGCACAAAGTAAAACAACATAATTTGTACAAATTTTATATACATATATACACAACACAATCTATTATACAACAATTCGAGTAAAAATAATGTATAATAATTAATTAATAAAATTTAGTCTGTATCTGATAGGTATCTGAAGTCTTCATCATCGTCGTCCGAGTCATCATCCGTGTCGCTTTGGCCAATAGTAAGAACACAAGGCTGATTTTCTGCTGACATGAGATCTTGGACCACATTATCCAAACTCCATGCTTTTTCTTCCTCCTTTATCACATGACCGACAAAATTTTTCCACATATCAGGGCTAACTTTATTCACTCCTTCAACTAACAAGTGTTTTATATCTTGTAATTTAAAAGTTTTGTTGTTATCTTTGACATGTTTCTTAACTATAGCCCATGCGAGTTCAATTGCATTAAGTTCACAATGATACGGAGGAAGTCTAAGGACAATTTTATTGTTAGCTTTTACCATTTCATCGATGACATAATTGTTATATAATGGTTTCAATTTTTTAACTTGGTCTAACAATTCTATGACAAGCATTGTGTTGTCGACTTGCTCTCCTTTGCTCTGGAGCCATGCAATTATGTCAGCTTTTCTCCAATTCGTAGTTGGGCATTTTTCAATTTTCACCGAATGATAAGGAGCGTTGTCCATTACGATGACAGCGTTGTCTTTGAGTTTCGGCAAAACACCTTCCAACCAATCACGAAAAGAGTCCCCGTTCATCTCATCGTGATAGTCTTGGGTGTTTTTCTTTGACTCAAAGCACAAAAGGCCTCCGGGAACAAATCCATCTTCGGAACCGATGTGGCTAACAATTAAACGTTTCCCCTTGCCAGTAGGGTTTATTGCTCCAGTCGAAAGTCCCTCGGAAGATGCCACTCGAGCTGACGTTACAGTTTTGTCGACCCATACTTTGCTATTAACATCTCCGGCGTTTACCAACGTTTCATCTAGAAAGTAAATTGGCCTTCCTTCTTCTCTGTATCTTAATATCTTTTAAATATCTTCTCCGCCAAAGTATGATTTCAGATTTTTCAATCAAACCACTATTACGACCTCGCTTCATATATACGAAATCCATAGATTTCAACAATCTGAATAATGATGTTCGAGAAAAATTTGGTAGACCTTTATCTTCATTGACAGACACAAGAATCTTGTCTAACGTAGGCGTATCACGATCGTGCCAAAATTGATGGACTTTTCTTCTGATACCATACTTGTCAAACTCGTCTACTTTTTCGGTCAGTTGTTTTCGGACTTTCGTTTTGTTTGGCGAAGAAACAGTTTTTGTCCGTTGATACTCCAATATGGTGTTATAAATTGTCGATTGACCAATTCCAAGTTCGTAAGATAAAGTTTTTTTCAGGTGAACCATTTTATGTTCAGGGTTTTCGATCATTTTGGCTTTATATGCATTAATAATCATCGTTTTTTGACGGGAACAAACAAACTGAGAAAAATAAATATATTTAGATTACAATATTATCCACATCAGATTTTGAAATATAAGTCATAGTTAATACATATTTAAACGTTTTATGTACTATATGTGATCTAATAAGGTTAAACGTAATAAATTTTTTTAAACTATAAAACTTTAAAAATGCATTAAAAATATGCACTTGAAAGGCAAAAAATGGCCAAAATAATTCAAAATTTAAGTTTCATAAACCGATTTGTTGTTACATAACTCAAATTATGTACTTACAAAGCTACGTTTCACAATTACGAAAAACAAGAACTTTTATGAAAAATCTGTTTTGACAAAATCTATTTTTTCATGTAGTTACAACCAGAGCTTCAAAACGTTAAAAATAACGTTATAATTTAAACGTTATAACGGAAAAAAATTAACAAAAAATAAATAAAATAAATAAACGAAAAACGAAAAAAATCGAATAACATTAAACATAATACATCATTAATCACAACTAATGTTTAAAAATTAACAATAAACGTATTTGTAACGTAAAAAAATTGCAAATAGATAACATTAATCGAAAAAACATTAGAGCTTTTTTTACATTGAACTCAATATGATTTTTTTTTTTAAATCTTAACGTTATGAACAATTCAAAGTTGGCTAACTATTGTTGACAATAATTTATATTTTCCGAATTATTTTCAGGTTTATTTATTACTTTATAAGACGTAAATACGTTTATTTCTGTAATATTCAACTAATCAATGCCTATGATTTATTAATTTATAAATGTATATTATTTATTATTTAAATATAAGTTTGTTTGAATAATTTCTGTCAAACAAATTGTATTATATTGTGGAATAACTGCTCAACAAAAAATTATAAAATTTAAATTTTAAAATACACTAAATATCATATTATTTATAAATATTAATTCTAGATACAAATAACAACTTCATTACATATTACCATCTATAAAATATTAGTCATAAACTTGTAAATTACAACTATTTAGTATTTTTTATGATTAAAATTTTGAGCTAAAAAGTCTAATACCTACCTATTACAAATTGCAACACATAATACTGGTAAGTTATTATATTAATAATTTATAGAGTTACATTGAAGATTGAACATTTAAAATGTTTAAGCTGCTATTTAGATTAACTAATTACTATTTTGTAATTTATATACTTCAAGCAGTCAGTGGACTAATATAATTAGAATTTATTAAACACATTTTCTATTTCGTATGATGCCATTTTATTTTTGTTTCTAGTGCACAGAGACCAGAGTATTAGATAATGTGATAATTTATAAATTTATGATACTTAAAATTAAAATTTGTTGTCAGTAATAAATATTACTTCATAGCTTGCTGAAGTTACTAATACCTAAATTAACATTAACTTATCAGTTACCTCTTTGGCCTTTGTCAAAAACTAGGAAATTTGTCTAATTTCATAATTCTTACATAACAAAATGGATAATTATGCCACAAATAACGGTAGAATTTATTGAAAATAACCATTTAATCCCCTATTTATCTTTAAATTATAACATTTAACAAAAAACGAAAAATTAAAATAACGTTTAATAATGCAAAAACGTTTAAAGGAAAAAATCAAATAACGTTTCAACGTACAATAACGTTAAACATTAAAATCGTATAACGTTTAAATAGCCAAAAACGGAAAAATGATATTTTTTTTTAGAATTTAAGCCCTGGTTACAACCACATAACAAAATCACTTTGTCTAAAACTGGTTTTGCTTAAATAAATTGCTGTTTTTCCGTCACTTTTTTTTTGTTTTCCTGATTTTTTTAAAAATTACTGGGAAACTATTTTTAAAAAAAACACATCATAGTAAAATACACATATTATACAATAAAAAATAATATACGGTATTTTTATATCTTGTGTTTTAATTCAAAAACGAATAACCATTCATACTTGAAATTTTCAAAAAAATTTTTGTTGTTATAGCGCCTACGTTACATGACAATTATTTTCAATAAAATTTTAATTAATATTTAAATAATGACTTACCTTTCCTCTCGGATTGTGTTTTGCAGGAGATCGTGTATTGCTAGGTAATTGATCCATAATTTTAAAAAAATTGAAACAAATTACAACAAATAACAACTGACAATATTAAAATTAATGAAAACGTGGATTATGGGCACGGCAAAGGACAAACAAAGTATCGTGGCATACGTCTAAATCAAAAATGACGACATGGCCATACACGATATGTATTAGGTGCGTAATACATTCCATATTATAGAAGGAGAAATAAAACATCTGCCAGCCAGACTAGCCAGTGGTCCTTAATATACATTACACAATAGACACCAAAGAGACTGACAAATACACCAGTTGGCATTTCTAGAATGCTGAATTATAAGTATTGTTATAAGGTAGATGTTATAGATACATCTAACTGTTGTCGATAATTTGTATCCCACCAAAAAAGGTCACATTCACACAATATAACACTGTATATATTGCGGCCCGAGAATTTTGTAAAATGTGAATTGTGTCTCAGTATATACTTCTATTTATTTTCAGTCACAAAGTCTGTACGTATATCAGTTCGAAAAGTCTGAGATCAAAAATCGTAATAACTGAACAATTATGTTTGAAAATACATATGGTAGATACAACAAAAAATACCGCACGTGTTCTTTTTACTAATTACGTTATTTATTTATTTAAATTTTTAACGAATCATAATTTATATATTTTGACATTGACGTTAGTTAATAATAACTTTCGATCGATAGATGAGACAATCGCATACTTATGATTTATATTTCATCATACATTGTTTAATGTATTAAACGTTTTCGTTCTTTTTAATTAACGAACGTATTAAAAATACTCTTTTAAATTTTGACTCTGCATAGTCAACCTTTTTAAAAAATGTATCCGCTAAATTCAGTCGTCCTAATATTAGTATAGAGATCATGAATTGAGTTGTGGCGTCCGGCGCCCCAAGCGTGAATCGAAACACGCGGAGCGCCGACGTGAAACGAAACACTCCGAGCGCCGATGTCGCCGTTTGGACGCGGTCTCTAGAGTGGGGTGACATGCGCGAATACCGACGAAAGCTGGTCGGCTGACTGATTATTCTCTCGTGGAATGGACTGTAATAGCCGACCGCTCGCGTTCGTTACCGGCCCAAGGCCACTCGACGCTGCTCACCTTATCAGTTTTCGTAATGAGTTCAACACCTAAAACCAACACCGCTGCTACAAAACATATCAATAAACCTCTATCACCGTTAATTCTCGTTAAAACTTAATATCACAAACGAGCAACAAGTCACCCGATGACCCATACAACAGCGATGATATTTGACAAGCAGTAGACTCAAATAAACGAATCAAATCACCACTTACCAAATCTCCTCCACACAAAAAAGTAGACTCAAACATATTCATTTCAAAAAACCGATATGCACCGATATCTCCCACCACCGAAAATGAACCAATGGACAGTACGAACGAACAGCCCACTGACGCTGCTAAAACCAACATCGATAAATAAATCTTCCTCCTCCAATATTCATTCAAGCTCAGCTTAACTTTAACACATTCTGTATAAAATTAAAAGAAATCACCGACTCCACAAGTTTTGCATGCAAAACTACGACCAAAGGTGTCAAATTACAAACCTTCAGTTCGGATTCATACAGATCTGTCGTTAAATTTCTAAAAAACGAAAATGTTTCCTTCCACTCCTACCAGTCCAAAGAAAGCAAACCACTCAGAGTAGTAATCAGGAACCTACATCCTTCTACCGACAAGGACTACATAACCAAAGAGCTTTCCGAACTAGGTTTTCAAGTCATGAATATCACAAACGTTCTCCAAAAATCTACTAAAGTCCCACTGCCTCTTTTTTTTATCGACCTCGTACAGTCTCAGTCTAATTAAGAAATCTTCAAAATAAATTCTCTCTGTTATTCCAAGGTCAAAGTGGAAGCACTCTACACTAAAAAGGAAATCCCACAATGCCAGCGTTGTCAGTCTTACAGTCACACCCGCGATTACTGCAACCATACTCCAAGATGTGTTCGCTGTGGGGACACCCACGACTCTTCTGAGTGTCAAAAATCTCGAAATGAACCAGCCAAATGCGCACTATGTGGAGGCTCCCATCCTGCAAACTATAGGGTATGTCAGTCCCACAAGGATATCCTCAAACACAGAAAATTTCTTCCAAATTCTAATTCAAACTTCAGAACAAGACACACTCATACCGACATTGTCAATTCAAATCGCACCGAAAATCTCACATCGTCTAAACATTTTCCTCCCCTTCCCAACTCAAATTCATCTCAACCTCAAGCAGCAACTCAAGAGAAACCAGACCAATCATCAGCGAATAACATCTCTGTCTACCTCTCCTCATTTGTTTACGAGCTAAAATCATTAATCAACTCACTAATCTCACTCGTCACGACCCTCATAAAAAAACTCATACTTAATGATGGCCGCCGTTAATAACTCCAGTCACCCACTCTCAATCTTTTTGTGGAACGCCAACGGAATGATAACAGAAACTCATCTCACCCAGAATAACTTCCTCAATATTCAAGGCTATGAAGCACTCAGAGCAGATCACCCGGACGGTTCCGCTCATGGAGGAACTGTTCTACTTATCTCGCACTGTATACCTCATTCTCCCTTCCTCCCTCATACTTCAGACAAACTTCAAATCATTGCCTCTTCCATAGTTCTCAACTCAATTCCAATCTCATTTGCTTCTGCTTACCTTCCTCCAGGCTGCCAATTCCCCGAAAACGAACTATCAACTTTCATACTCTCCTTCAATCACACATTCATCATTGGAGCCGACTTCAACGCCAAGCAACTAAACTGGGGCTCAAGATTTACAAACACAAGAGGCCGTTCCCTCTTCAGGGTCATGTCCTCCTCACACGCCAAAACTATCACTACGGATG